GAGCTTATACCCTAAATCGCTGCTTGACTATCTAAGTATATGGGAGGTTCCATGGGAAACTGGACCTCGGTGCAAAAATTATTTTCTTTATAAAACTAACAAACAGGGGGATAAGACATTTGTAAAATTCTTGAATCAACCAGAAAATAACAAATTAAAGCATTAAATGCATTTCTATTTCCTTTTTTATGTTTTGAAATCAAGTTCTAATTAAATCATTTGAAGAAGTTTAAAGTAGGTTGTGTTGAAATACTGTCAAATAATTTGCGATTCAAAATTTAAGTGTTTGGTAAGAAAAATATATCTGTGTTCATATGGAACAGTAGCTTATGTCGAACGGATGACTTAAGTATAATGCGACATTCGCAACAAACGATTGCGAATGATTCACTGGCGCCGAGCCGTGGAAGAACTTTTGGCAAATAAACGTGCAAGAAATAGTTCCGATACTAGCAAGTCAATGTTCTTATTAAGTCTCATCAAAAAAATCCTTGTCGTTTAAAGAATAAAAGGAATGCCGCATTATACTAAAGCCAGCCTCCACAGCGACATAAGCTACTATTCCGTACAGATATAGTAGAACTCATCTGCTTTTAATAAAACTGTGTTAAATATTAATAGTGTGAGTGCTTTGTTTATATTATTAAGCAGAATTGGTCCTGTCCCACCCGTGACAAAAAAAGCAAAAACTTGTTATATTTAATTACAGAAGTTGATGTTGTGTTTCGGGTTTGTTACATAATGTTAGAACTTTATTGCAAATGTTTACCACAACTGCATTTTCGTTTCCACATAGTTACCCAGTGGGAAAATGTAATGTATTGTAATCGAAAAAATAATCAGTAAAACAGCCGTTTTCACATTCAAAAATGCATTATTTTTCCCACGGCGATGTCCTTAGAAACGTCAGTCAATTTTGCATTATCAGTAATGCAAGAATTAATGTGATTTAATATGAAATTTAGCAGACTCACCAATTGACTATATAGCCTTGTGGTCAGCTGATTAAGTGACATTTTGGCCAGTTTTGGTTTTTTTCTTTTGTTTATTTAATTTTTATAGTGTTTTTTATCACTTTTGTTGGAGTCTTAGCTTTGTTTGAATTCGTGGTCCTTTGTTTTATTATACGACATCAAGATTACACAGAAAAGTGAAATAAATTCGCAGAGTTTCCGTAAAATATATCTGCTCCAATAAGGATGTTTTGAAATAAATTCGCAGAGTTTCCGTAAAATATATCTGCTCCAATAAGGATGTTTTTTTTTGTCCCACCCGTGACAGAAAATATAACCTAGATTTTTTCCATATAAAAGTTAGATGGAATTTTCTTTAGTATTTAGTAATAACTCAAATAATAGTCAATTAGTTGTAGCTTTATCAAAATGTAGAATAGCTGAGTACTTTATACTTAAATCTAAACAAGAAAGAAAATTTTTTGTGTACAAATCTTTCACCCGTGACGGTGGAATCGACCCATTGCAATCATAAGTGTCACTACGGTTAAATCATCTGTGGAAAGATTCGTGCTAATATAACCTTTACCTTTTTATCTGCACTCGGGGTGTATGTTACGTAATTTTGTGACTTTACTTCTGAGACCTTATTACCCAAGGCTATCCCTCTAGGTTAAGGAGGAACTCGGCTGAAGCGACTTTACTTTTGTGGAGGTTTATCTGAAGGACCTTCAGAATTGCGCTTTGGTTCCTTCCCAAGGTTGGATGCTTTCTCCAGCTTACCCGCCACATCACGTAGGTTTAGAGTGGCGTCCATGATCTCGTCTAAGCCTAGATCTTTTACCATCTCTCCCGCTTTGAGCGTGTTATCGTTGTTGTCCTATGGGTGGCGTTTCTTGAGGCGAAGAAACACACTACCCATTCCCCACGGCATTTTTCCAATACTCTCGTAGAGAGTGTCCTCAACGTCTTGCGGGTTTGGAGGATGTAATCCTGTTCACCCTCGGCGTTTGTTGCCTTGGTGACATGTAACACTCTCCAATCGTCAGTCGGCAGGTCGGGATTCTGTCGTTGTAATAAGCGGAGTGCATGCCCCGGATTTAGTACCTTCGTCTTTGGTATCGATGGGATGCAGCTCCTGTCGACAATTTCCAAGGATGCCCCCTCACACAGGTTTTGAAGCGTTTTCACTGCTTCCTTTATACATGTCAGCGAGGGGTCATCCTTGGATTTAATAATTTTGACTCCGCTAAACCACCCTGCTCCATCATTTGTTGGCATGGGTTGGTTTGAGTCGGCTTCCATTCTCGAGAAGAGAGTTTCCAGTAGTTGCATTTCAACCACCTTCGCCCGGTCTTGTAACATTTGGCCCAGGGGGTTGCTTTGGTCAATAAGTGCCACAATCAGGTGTCTCCTGGCAATCTTACTAGCCGCCTCCGCTGCCCTCGACTATGTGGGTTTTTCACCATCGCATCTGACGTTAGGCTTTACAGTCTCGCCCTTGTGCTTCGGCATTTTCGCAGGAGTCAAGGCATCGCTCTCCAAGGAGCGCTGCCTTTCATTACGGCCTCCTCCAACCGGTTTGCGAACATCGGATCAGAAGAATTAAACCTTTCCCTTGTCGCGAAGTGAGGTCGCCCACTTTCCATTTCGGACTTAGCCCAAGTCAGTCATTCTGCCTCCTCCTTCGTTAGACTGGACTTGTGGCTAAGTCTATTATGAACCTTAAGGGCTGCCTTATATTGCGCTTTCGCTTTCATCCCGTCTTTACTGGGCTTTACCCTAGACCTTTTCGTTGCCTCTGAAGAAACACCATCGGGTTTTGCCGGAAAGCATAGAAGGACGTCTTCGTCCAACGTGTCAACGCTGACCATGCTTTCGAGGTTAGAGTTTTAAGGAACTTTGGCACCTCTGTGTTGCGATTGTTGGTTGGCGGTAGCAGCGTAACTGCTGTGAACTGCTCCCTTCACAGCAGAGGTGTGGCCGCTAGCGACACGGTTTCCAGGCTCTCCGTGCCTGCCGATAGTAGCAGCCACTGCTTCTACCGACGTTTGGGATGACATCCCGGCAGATTTTTCTACATCTTCTACCACCATGTTGAGTCTGTTTTTTCGCGGAGGCTCAACCCCTAGCGTTTTATACCCCCTCCTGAACCCTGCAGGGGCGGCGAAATGCCCTGTGACCGGGTGGGTAGTTCTGCTGGTGGCAAGAGTAAAGAGGTATAGCAAATAGGTTGCCAATGTAATTGAGAAGGTTAACAGGTTTCGTTAAAAATATGTACTTTGGTGCATTGTCGAGCGCAAAAAATTTTTCACCATACACAAAACATAAAAGCTTCTCCCGTTAGAGTATGACGACCCTGGAGTTGTAACAAGTAGTCTAATCTAAGCATACATATTCAGGAACAAGTCCCACACACAATTAGTTTTCACGCAAAAATTGCACAACATATTTCACATATACTGGATTTTGTTCTGTGCGCCTCATAATGCACAGAGCTAAATCTTTATTGCTATTGAGTCTGCATTCATCAAAATCACCATTATAAAACGTGACAATTTTCTTCAAATGTACTGTCTCACCAAGAATGAACTTTTCTAAAGTTTTATAAAACGTTGCCGATTCAGTATCAAATCTTCTTGTCCGGGAGCAAATAACATGGTCAAAAATATCATAATATATTTTCCGAAAATACTATTCAGGTGTGGTTAATACAGGACTTTCAATTGGACTTTTTTTTATTCTAAAAAATTTTCAGGTGGGCAATTACCCACCTTTAAAAATTTCAGGTGGGTAGAACTACGCACCATACCCACGTGTTCCGCCGCCCCTGGTAGCGTAGACATATCAGTCCACCTGCAGGGAACGGACAAGTCTATATACCGGCCTCAGCTAGATAGCGCCTGCCTGCATCGCTGCTTTCGGGTGCAATAGCCGAAACGGACGGCGGTGTGGGCAGCGCCACCCATTGCCCAGTCGGTACCCGCGGGAAGGATATAGCTATGGGGGTTATTGCCAACCCATCTGGAAATTAGTTTTACTTTAAAGACAACTTTTGTTACCTGGCTTGAACTATCCAACTCCTCGCGAAGTAAAAAAGCTTTATTTCAGCAATTCAATAGTATTGCGTAGTTTAGACTCTAAAATTGTGTTTTAAAGGCTTTGCACAATTCAAGAAGAAATACGGTTAAAAGGCTTTTATCTATTGATTCTTCTATTCCCCAAATTCGCTTTATAAACATTTATTTTATTTTCACAATAATTTCGTCGAGATCTAATATTTAAGCATTCTGATCTCAAGTTGCAGTGGTAATAAACATTAGTAACCAAATTTTTGAGTAACTTGTACAAATCGAGAAAATTCTTTTTTGCTCAACTCTATGTAATTTCAGTGTCAACAACTCAATCCTCTCTTAACGCTCAAATATGTATTTCTTCGAGCTTCATGCTGCATAACTTGAAATCGAAGAGTCAAAATATTCAAAAGTAGTCGCAGTTTTAATCCAGACGTGATAAGGCAAACGCGTTGCATGCGCTCGACTCTAAGTCATCCATTGTCTAATCTGATCAGATCAGATTACAATAACACTCGAAGGTATTATCCAGTGAGCTACACGGTCTCCGTGCGTGTTTTACATTTTAATGGACGTTCGCATGCAGCTACATATTCTTCGTAAATACATATAAATATATGTATGTATTTATGTATTGTCGCTTGGTATCATGCATATATACATACATACATATTTAATCGCTCGAGCCGATCGATCGTTATCGCAGAAAATGCAAATATATTCAGGGTATTCATCTATGAGGCATTTACGCGCTTAGATGAATTATATGGAAGGCAAGAATCGAAAGTACAAAACAAAGTCTGATTACCCGTTTAAACGAAAGAAAAACATTTTTATGTTTTGGAAGTTATTAAAACCTTCTGAAAACTGGTTTGGATAGAATACCATCTTAAGCCTTGCGAAAATTATTGTATATCTTATGTGTGGTTACAGATCAAAACAATCCAGTGTTATTAAAGTGAGTGTTTCTATGTGACTGCCTTTTAAATCTCAATGTGATAACGTTGTATATTATCAAAGCAGTTATTTATAAATAAAATAAAATTAAATAAATGTATATTCAGTTTTTAGAAGAATATGTTAACCCAAAAATTAAGTACCAGAAAACAATGGTCTAGTTAGGTGTTCTACATTGAACCAAAATAAATATCTTAAAAAATATAGCAAGCACAATCTTAAAACTAGGTCCAGATGATACAAATTTTATCAAACCTTCTTTGCTTCCTAAAGAGTGGCGTAATTAAGCAAATTCTTTTTGCATTATGACGTTTTTCCGGGAAACGACCAATTTGCCCAAATGTTCATTTGTAATTGGCAAGTAGTACTTTGCATTTTACAAGAATATTTTGATGAAATCAGCATAAATTCAGTATGCTTTGTGAACCATTCTCCTTATTTTGCGATATCGACTACATACATATGTATAAATATTTTATTTCTAGAGCGTATAACTAATTCGTTTGTTTATTGTTTCATTCGCGCACTCATTCGGAGTTACATACATTCATATGTATGTGCATATGTAAGTATAATCAGGCATGCCAGCTGCCACGACTTTAGGAGAATTATTGCTGACTTGAGTAGAGCTGCAACCTACTAATACCAAGGGTATTGAGTTGGCTGATTCTGAGCATCTTTTTATTTGTGCCATTGCTCATTCAGTTTTAAAATTTCTATTGTTTCTGTTGTTTACAGCTCAATTGACGACGAAATCGACGGAAATTGCATTGTGCGTGCTCGTGGATTACCTTGGCAGAGTAGCGATCAGGACATCGCTAAATTTTTTCGCGGTCTAAACGTTGCAAAGTAAGTAAAATAAAAAATCCCCATTTCTCTTAATATGAATTTTAAGATTGCCGTGCAAGCCATTAACATTTATTTAATATTTTATTAATATCAATTCTCTTTATATATATATGATCTTTAAACTTTAGTCGAATATAGGGAATCACTAGAGCTGGGACGATCCGTGTATTCGGATATTCTTTCAATCAATTTTATTATAATAAAGTACAAGTTTTGAGTAGCTAGGAATTGCCGTTAGATAGATAGAAAATACTTTATATGGTAAAAATGCAAAACACCTTCTACAAAAAAAAATTCTCTAAAATCAACGCGATTTTTGACTAACTCCGAACTTGCATTGTTTTTACTAAACAATCTGATTAAAAAGTTGAAAATTTTGATGAAAATTTGCTGAATTTTCGCGAGTTTTGCACAAAGTTCAGGAATTATATTTTTATGTTTTTTTTTTTTGTTGCTGAATGAACCATATTTTTATACAAAATTGGCGGAAAAATATTAGAATAAAAATTGTTGCATATATTGTGAAATATTTGCTCTGCTAATACTTTCTACACTACACTTCTTACACTTCTTAAAAAGTTTGTACCAGTGTTCATTCAAAAACCATGTAATAAAAGAAATTGCAACTGAAGAACCTTGGTTTATACAACCTTGTGTAACTACTCTTTAGAGAAACAATAATATTAGCTCGGATCTTTCTTTGTTAAGCTAACGACGTGTACACAATGTACATATAAACATATGTATATATCGTCGACCAAACCTCATTTTAGGGCAAATTAGTTAAGCAACAGTTTTGGACCGATGAGGGTTTTTTTAAAGCGTGGCCGAAGACCCCCAACGCGGAAATAAGATGAACGTAAAAATACTGTGGACTGCGTAGTGGGAGTTGGATTTTGAATTTTTTTGAAGCCCACAGAAGTGCAAACATTCATACTAATCTACTAGTTTCTCCTATTGCATATATGTAGGTAGAACGACTTAAGCCTAGGCAACCCCAGTTTATTCTAAAATCGGATTTGGCATTAGCAAACAAAGACAATACATGCTAGAATGGGTCTTTGAGGCTCAGTTCAGCAGGCACTGATAAGAGGCCAAAAGGTTTAGATTGATTATTATCAATAAAATAATTATTTTAGCAAAGTAGTATTTTAAACGACATTTTTTGCTCTTGTTTTCATTTCTATTTTCCTTAACGCTATTCTTGTTTACAGGGGCGGAGTAGCTCTTTGTCTTTCGCCCCTCGGCCGACGCAACGGCGAGGCTCTTATTCGTTTTATATCGCAGGAGCATCGCGACATGGCATTAAAACGTCACAAACATCACATCGGCAGCCGATATATCGAAGTTTATCGCGCCACTGGTGAAGATTTCTTGGCCATAGCTGGTGGAGCTTCCAATGAAGCGCAGGCTTTCCTTTCAAAAGGTGCGCAGGTTATAATACGTATGCGAGGTCTCCCCTATGATTGCACAGCAAAACAAGTTGTAAGTATGTATAGTCAAGTAATTAAAAATATATTATGATTAAGATTACTATATGTGCATATATGAATGTGAAGTGCTTATAAATTTTCCCTTTTTTTACTTATCACAAACTAAAAAATCTTCATCATCATCACATCCCTAAATTTTTATAAGATTAGGATCAATATTAAAATTAAATATCACAGCATTTACTTTCCAATATCAGCGATTCCTGAAATAAGGCGTCAACACCTTTCTTGTCAGTGCACTACATTTAGATATCTACATATGCCCGCCCAACATAACTTCTGCGACTATTTGACTGTCACTGAACAATTTCTTTTGCAATATAGATAAATTGTCTACTGATATAATTGCTGTATACGAGGCAATGTAAAGATCATTAAATAGGTCAGCTTCCTTGTCTTAAACGGAATTCTTGGCTGACTTGTTCTAGAAAAAGAATCTGCTGCAGCGATAAGTTTAATCGTTGCCACATGGGTTAGGTTTGGTTAATCTAGCCGGCGTTGAGCCGCATATAGACCGGTAGGTCCTCAGCGTTACGCGTTAAAGTAAACATCACAAAGGATATCAAAGTTGTTTGCGAATTTAAGTAGAAATTTCAGCCCTACTATTGAGATGTCCTCTAACTTCTCGAATTGGTAGGATCCCAAGCATTTTAGTCGTGTTTTTAACAGCGCAGGGCATTGGCAGAGGAGATGCTTCAAGGTTTCTGCAGTCTTCGCTCACGAAACTTACTGCACCTACCCACGCTAGTGATACTCATTTTTAGTACGAGAGCAGCGATCCGCAGTAATCAGCAAGTAAGCGATCCGGCAATAACTCTGCAGTCTTCCTTTGATAGCCGTAACAAGAAGCGAGAATAGTTGCTTCCGCCGTTTTGCCCTGAACTGCAGCCAGCTGTTCAATTTAAACTTAGTTTACTTAATCTAAGTTTAAGTGATTTGTCGCAAATTATTTTAAGTTTTAAGCTAAATCTTTTTACTCATCATCCAAAAATAATAATTTTCATTTTCCATGGCTAGAAAAAAATATTGATTTAAAAGCAGATTATTTAAATGTAATTCATAAACCCTTTTTTATGTAACATATTTGAGGATATTGTAAATATCCGAAATACTCCTTTTAAGAAAAGCGAAGAAAAGTTGGAGTTTTGGAATTAGAAGAAGATAAAGCACTGGAAATGTATCCTAGAGCTTTGCCATTACTTGAGTTCCGGCAACAAGTACCAGATTTAAAATATCCGCTGTTGAAAACAGCTGCGAGCTGTATATTTTAAATTTTTGGTACAACGTATAACTGTGACTCTTTGTACTCTACAATGAAATTCGTAAAGCCAAAATACTGCTCACAATTAGTTGGATTCGCGTGCCTGTTAAATAGTGAAAGTTATTAAAAACTATCAGCTTTTTGCGTTCGCGTTCGCAAAAAAAATCCAATTTAGCGGTAATTGAGAGGGGAAGCTGTCAGTTTCTGCTGGAAAAATTTTTGCCAACAGCAATTTGCCTACAAGAAAACAGCTGGTTGAAATTTACGCAAATCCCTAAATTGAATTTGATGGTTTGTAAGTTAAAATAGTCAAATTCGACTAATTAGACTTATAAGGAGTAAGTAATTATTCGTTAAGTCAGTGAACTCAAGAGAATAAGACTTCGGGATTTGTTTTCTTACGTTTTCAATTTTATACTTTTGAATGCAAACAAAATTTCTATAAGCTGTTCGTCTAACTTGGAAGTGTCTGCAGAGTTTCTGTTCGCGTGCTATTTTGGATATTTATTCCCGTGAAAGAACAGATGACATTTCGCTGGAATTTTGCTGTTGGACATTTTTTACTGGAGATTTTAAACGAACGTACCTATTGGCTAACCAACATTTAACAGAACTGTTACGAACGGCCTCAACTGACGTAAAACAAGTTTGGAAAATTTGGCGAAAGAGATCTTTTGAATTTTCTTTAATATCTATCTTACGTACATTCGAATAATATTAAATTAATGTTTTTCATTTCTAATAATAATTTTATTTAAAAATAAAACTTTTGTTATTGTTTTTTTTTTGTGGTTCTTTGTAGCATTTAGAATTTACTCGTTGCTCTTTCGGCCTCGGCCTTGCCCTGCTATATGAGCGAATTGCCTTAATTGCCGCCCGACTATCTACGTATAGGTTTACTTTTGAATCGATTGTCGTTTCGGTGTAGGCTAGCTCTGCTGCTATCCTCATAGCGAAAACCTCTGCTTGAAATATGCTGAAATGGTCAGGTAACCTTACTGCCCGCCTGACGTTCAGTTCCCTGCAATAAATCGTGGCAGCCACTCCCGTTGCCATTTTAGATCCGTTCGTGAAAATGTTTAGGGATCTATTGCTAAATAGGTTTCATTCCCTTGCGCCATCCCTCCTCCTCAATCGTTGTGCGAAACCTTTGTTACCACTTAAAGCTTGGTGCCATGCAGGGATGAAAAATGGAAATTTCAGGTTGTACCTAATATCATGAAATAAATGTACCTAAATGACACAAATTGTACCTAACAAAGTTTCAGCATTCATTTGTAGGTTTTTTTTTATAAATTTTACTTAAAACATGAATACAAAAGATAGATGTACATTAAACATGATTAGGTTTTTTAATTAACTGAGCCTATATCTGTAGACTATTAGTCTAATGGGAATCGGAGAAGCGTTGTTTTTGTCTGATTTTGGCTACTGAAAAATATTGGCGAAAAAGACAAAAAACACACTTTGGGAAGTATACTTCGTTATTCAGCTTTTTATAAAACAGCAGGAAAAGTCTGCTAATAATATCCGATTCCTTTTAATAGGTGCAGCAAGTCTAGAGAAAATAATCAAATTGCCGTAAGTAACTTCGAAAGCATTTTAAATATACTAGAGTGCCAGTTACTGTCGAAATTCGACAGTTTTTCTAGTTTTA